GTTCCCAACTTCTCCAAGATTATTTGGCGAATTTTGAAAAAACCTGTACGTTTTCGCGAGTATTTCATACTTTTTCCAATATCGAAGCAACATTTTCTATGAAATATTACCATATTCGGAATCAGCGCGAAAAACTGCATCTAATGAACTATTTGTTGGTTCACATATTTGGCAAATGAATTCGAATGTTCTCGGAATTGACATTCATGTCCGCAATGACGTTAAACTACGCGCCTGCGACGACGAAAATCTAGGGTTATGATGTTCGGATCGGTTATGGTTATGGTATAAAGGTTATGGACAGAAAGTAACATCTTGTCTGAGGATCGGCTGTGGCCAGAACACGCTTTGGACTCTGTTAATGGCAGTAGGTGGATGAAGGTACAGTTGGAGCCCTAGCTCAGAGGGTTCCTTCGGATCACCCCCCTCTGGCTCTGCACGCAGTGCAGAGCAGCCGCTAGGTTCTCCTTCCGAGGCCGAGTCCACCTGTTACCATTACCCCCTGAATGTACTTGGCCTCCCAGTCTGCGCGAGCTGGCTTAGTTGAGAGAGCGCAGGAGAGCAAGGATGGTCTGATAAACAGTCCACTTAACAAAGTGGTCCCAAGACGTTACGGGATAGGACCGAGTTCTCTAGGATTGGCAGACCAGGAGGGTTAGCCAGGCTCCGTGACCATGCGTAGGTCCCCCCTGGTCCGCCTGGTTTGTGTGTCTGCAGAGTGCCGTAAGAACGTACGCTTAGGCGGGCGTGCTTGAGACCGGGGCCCGACAGAGGCGGTACCGCGGGCGTCGTACAGCCGGGTGATTGTTAACAGTAGCCCGGTGACGACCCGCGGCCCCGGGTGGCACTTTGACGCCTTGTAAACAGCAAATGGCCTCATCAATTGCAACAACTTCTTCATCTCATGACGAAATGAACTTTGACCAACTCTTCACTCTCTATCATATCGAATGTAGTACAGATCTCGAGAAAGTACAAGAGAAAGTCTTCGAATTTTTCGGTGTACAATGTACACAACCAAATATTGATTTTATTCAATCGAAAGTTCAATATCACACTACGAAATATCGAAGTAAATATGATGACTGGCGAAAACATCGTAGTTCGGCTCATCACAAAGAAAAATTCTTAGATCCAGCTATTTTGAGCGGAGAGTTTCCAGACAAAAAGCCGGCAGAAAAACCAAAGCCACCGAAGCGGCCAACTCTCGACTTTAACGACGTTAGCAGCCGTCAAAAGCGACACAAGCTTACTGATCTCAATTCAGAACTTGACGATTTCGCAAAAAATAATAATTTAGAAGTGAATCAAGTCATTGGTTTCTTATTACATCAAAGAAACTACAACTCGAACAAATATATTGCGAAACTCGGTGACGAGTTGTACAAAACTGGGACTATTTCGCAAGAGACGGGGAGTAATCTCGATACCAATCAGACACTGGCGATCAAAGTTCATATTGGTATGAGTGGTAACGATATGGACTATATGAAGAATTTTCTGAAGGATTCGATTCACATTCCAAATCGAAATATCATAAGAGAACATGCAGTGACATTAGTTCCAGACGTGGAAGAATGTAGGGGAGGACGAGGAATTCAAGTGAAGTCCGTAGGTGAATGTATCACTCTCACAGTGAAAAGACTGATCGATCGTTTGCTCAAGGAAAAAGTCGACCTGGCTTCTGATCTAGTCTATCGCCAGAAGACGGGACATGACGGAGCAGGAAGTCAGAGTATTTACCGATCGGATCAAACGCCGACGAAGGACGGAAACATCTTTTCAAAGATGTTTGTTCCTCTTTCTCTGGCCGATAATGCTACTGGCCAAATGTATTGGCGAAACCAAGCGCCCAATAGCGCATTTTGGACGCGGCCTTTAGCACTCATAGCCGAGAAAGAAAGTCCCGATTTAATACGCTTCGTGAACGAAAACTTCGAAGCACAGGAGCAAACTTTGCGCGAGAAAGGCCTTGTTATCGATCACAAGGGGCAGAACTACAAGATTACCATTATCATCGAGTCATCGATGAAAGATATGAAAGTACGGGCAGTTGAATCGGGCTTAGGTGGTGCTGATTGTATCATGTGTTATACCAGACAGGCGGACTGGAAAGACGTCACCAAGATCAAGCAAGGCGATGCGTTTGAAATCACGCGCACTGCTGAAAAAACTCTGGAGATTTACAAGGAAATGGTGGGAGATAAGGGGGAAATTGTACGCAAGAAGAACGATTATGATGTACGGGGTGGTTTGACCACGGAACCACTTTCCAGCAGTAACCAGCATTTTCTCACACTCACTCACCAATACATAAACGGGTGTCACTGGATGCTGAACATAATGTATCGAGTGAAGGCAGATCTCTTGGTCTGGACAGTGAGAGGCGAGGAGAATCAGGCGAAGCTCAAGAAGGCGAAAGAGAGCGTGTTGCAGCACATTGAAAAGTGTACGGGACTGAAGTTGGATCAGTGTGACTCGTCAGGGGGAAATACAGGAACGAGTACAACGGGAAATCAAGGGCGCAGATTCTTCTCTGCTGAATTGCGGGAGAAAATCATTGACATACTTCCACCGGCACACAAAGATAAAATCGGCACTTTGATGAAGCTCTACTCTGTCGTCTTGCGTGCAGTTTCCTCCACGCAAGCAATCAACATTGATGAACTGAGGAGTTTAACGAGAGACTTAACTCTGTTTGTGGCCACGGAACTGAAGTGGATCGATTACAATATTACAGTTCACAACATGATCTTTCATTGCACCGAACTGGTGGAGCGAAATAACGGAATTGCTCTCGGTGAACTGAGCGAGGAGGCTCTGGAATCTGCGAATAAGGACATCAGGAATTACAGGGAGTTTCTTTCCAGGAAATGCGGACACATCCCGAACTTAACGGACGTGTTCACTCGCCCCTTCACACGATCTGACCCCGTTCTTCGTCGCATCATCGATTCCTCTCAACGAAAGAGAGAGAAGCGAACGAGTTCGGTACAGGTGACTGCTCCTCCGAATGAAGATGAGCTCATTCTCAGCAAACTTTTAGAATGAGTGGAATTCTGGCGTAAGTGTCTCATTTTACAGTGACGTTTTTACAGTGAAACCTTTCTTTTTAGTTACTTTTTAGTTTCTTTTAGTACTTTCTACAGCTGATTTGCATGCGCTTGCCCTGATGAATTTTCCTCCTCCAAGAAGGGAGACCTCTCCGTGGTGAGGAGGAGAAACGTTGATGGCTCACATCATCAACGGCTAACGTCCCTTCGCGATTATAACATGTTTAGGCACTCATCAAGTTAACGGTAAATGAAAATGAGATGTTTCTCGTGTTTTATTAGTTTGTTCGACCTTTTAGGCGAAGAAAATTTAGCTCTTCATAGTTAGTAATAACTCTCAAATAGTGGCTGAAGAAATACATAATAAAACTCAATGTAATTGCTTCACGAAAACATCTAATTTTAAAAATCTAGTTATACAAACCATTGACTTCCGATCAAAACAAAAATGTTCACTATAACCAGTTTTTAACGGCGAATCCAACGAACTACTTTTTTTCATTAAACAAGCACATTTAGTCGTAGAAAAGCGTGACGCAATTATGAAAACTTAATCAGTGGCAGCGCTTTTTAGGTGAATTATAGAGTGCTATTTTTACTGGAATAAGCGAAATAATAAAAGAGCACTGATCAACTAAACGTGTGCTACTCAGATCTGCCACTAAATTTACTGAGCACGTAGAGCGTCAGGTTTGAATAGAACTCGTTGACCTTCTATATACAGAGTGTACTTAACGATTCCGATACAGCTCTATGTCCATGTGTCTCCTGCACGTGTATTGTGATCGTTGCTTTGAGAGAGTAGAAAAGAAAAATCTAATTTAGTAGCGAGAGAGAAAAATGTAATCTACACACTCACCCCTTTTATTTTGCCGAAAGCTAAGCATAAAAGAACGACGCATTAGAAGCAAGATTTGCTTCCATCCATATAAGTGTGATCTTTTTAAAAAAGAGAACGATATTGTTTATTTTTTTACTTCTATTATCTCTCATATTCTATTTTCTATTCTATTTTTTTGCAAGGTACGTGCTGTTTAGATTTCCTAGTGAGATAAGAGAATGGCCATGAGTCAGGCGGAAAGAGCGCAAAAATATCGTGAGAAAATAAAAAAAGATAAGGTTAAATATGAAGCGGTGAAAGCTAAGGCTCGTGTTCGTGGTAATTCGAAGAGAGAAAAGTTAACCGGTCTAGATCTGGCAGCATTCCGTTTGAAAAATAAAATCAATCAAGTTAATTTTCGTAAGAGTAAAAAAAAACGTTTGAATACAGAAACAGTTCCCAGTGCATTCAAGAGTCGTCAGTCGTTCGGAAAGTCTTTGAAAAAGGTTAATTCGCCTTTGCCGAAACGTGATAAAAGGAAAAAAATAATTGTTCAGCATTTAGCTCAGAAATTTGGTCTAATTCCTAAACCAACTCATCATCGTACTTCAGTTCAACTTTCTGCAAAATTGAAAAAAGATATTTATAATTTCTATGTTTGTGACGATGTTTCGTATCAGCTACCTGGTAAACGTGATACTATTGTAGTGAAAGACGATGATGGACAGAAAACGACGTACCAAAAAAGAATTTTAATTAATAATTTAAGAGAAAATTACGGGTTATTCAGAGAGGAAAATAAGAATGTTGATTTGAGTCGTTCCGCGTTTGCTGATTTGAGACCTTCATTCGTCGTTTGTAAGGCGGCTTTGGCTCATCGTGTTTGTGTTTACGTCTATCATGCTAATGTTGATTTGTTTTCGAAAAGTTTGGATAAGTGTATTGCTGGAACAGTTTGTTCATCTCTAGAAACTTTCACTTAGTGGTTGGTTTGTAATACAGAGAATGAGGAGTGTATGTTCAGTCAGTGTCCACTTTGTGAAAATTTCTTTCGAGATGAGATTGAATAAAAAGTTATTGACGGTAACGTTCAGATTAAACGGCTTCAGTGGGCGAACGAAAATGAACGGGCAGAAAAAAAGGAGTGTTCTGGTAGTGTTGATGAGGCAGTCCAGCTATTAGGAAGTAAAATTGAACATTTTAAATTTATGTAGTTGTCTTACTATGTAGTTGTCTTACTCTTCGCTAGATTGTTTGGTTGACTCTGCACCATAGACCTTGGTCTGCTCGCTAAGTCAAGTTTGTTGTATCCTTTTCTTAATAAACAACGTTATGATTAAAACATTTTAAATTTCATGTGTTTGTTAAGAGAGAACAGTCAAAATATTTTGAAAAACTTAAGGCTGAAGTGACCAATGAAAAAGTTGTGTGTCAAGTTGATTTCGCCGAAAATTATGGAATGAAGGAGCAAGATGAAGTTCAGTCTTCACATTGGTACACAAAAACAATGAGTATATTTACAGGTTATGTTTGGTCCAAAAGTGGAGGATTTGGTTTTGCTCTACCCTCATTAGATGTTAGTCACGATAAATTCGTTGTGAACTCAGCTCTGGAATTAATTTTAAATCATTTGAAAACTCTACTTCCAGATTTGAAAGAAATTAACTTTTTCAGTGATGGAGCAGCGTCTCAGTTTAAGCAGCGTTATCATTTTCGAAATTTAGTTCAGCTTGCTTCAGAATATAAAATTAGTATGAATTGGTGTTTTTTTGCCACTAGTCATGGGAAAGGCACGGTTG